CTGCTGCCCCTCTGCTGTTGGACGAGTCTGTTTTGTGCTGCACTTTGAGTCTTCGAGTGGTGTTTTTCCAAGCCAGCGGCTGCATGATTCATGGAATAAAATATGGCTTGCAGCGCAGTAAAATCTCTGATAAACAACTGCACAGCGCATTAGGATCTGCTCATCAGTTCATCTTTAATCTAAGGCCACTTGCTGCAGTCTGCATAGTCTTAGCGACACGGTGGCTCAGTGGTTAGCACTCACCGGTTCCAGTCCTGGCTGGATCAGTTGGCGTGGCTTTCCTCCGGTTCCCCCCACAGTCCAAACACATGCGCTATAGGGGAGTCGATGTGCTGAATTGGCCGTAGTGTACGAGTGTGTATGTGAATGAGTTTGTATGGGTGTTTTCTAGAACTGGGTTGCAGCTGGAAGGGCATTTGCTGTGTAAAACATATGCTGGATAAGTTGGCGGTTCATTCCGCTGTGGTGACCGCTGATTAATTAAGGGACTAAGCCGAAAAGAAAATGAAAGAATGTAAGAGTGTGTGTCTGTGTGAATGAGTGTGGATGGGTGTTTCCCAGATCTGGGTTGCAGCTGGAATGGCATCCGCTGCGTAAAACATGTGCTGGATAAATTGGCGGTTCATTCCGCTGTGGCGACCACTGATAAATAAAGGAACAAAGCTTTAAGAAAAATGAACAAATGTAGAAGTGTGTGTCTGTGTGAATGAGTGTGGATGGGTGTTTCCCAGATCTGGGTTGCAGCTGGAAGGGCATTTGCTGCGTAAAACATATGCTGGATAAGTTGGGGGTTCATTCCGCTGTGGCAACCACTGATAAAGGGACTAAGCCGAAAAGAAAATGAATGAATGTAGGAGTGTGTGTGTGTTTGTGTGTGTGTGAATGAGTGTGTATGGGTGTTTTCCAGAACGGGGTTGCAGCTGGAAGGGCATTCGCTGCGTAAAACATATGCTGGATAAGTTGGCGGTTCATTCCACTGTGGTGTCCGCTGATTAATTAAGGGTCTAAGCCGAAAAGAAAATGAATTAATGTAGGAGTGTGTGTGTGTGTGTGTGTGTGTGTGTGTGTGTGTGTGTGTGTGTGTGTGTGTATGAATGAGTGTGTATGGGTGTTTCCCAGATGTGAGTTGTATCTGGAAGGGCATTTGCTGCGTAAAACATGCTGGATAAGTTGGCGGTTCATTCCGCTGTGGCGACCACTGATTAAGGGACTAAGCCGAAAAGAAAATGAATGAATGAATGAATGAATGTGTGTGTGTGTGTGTGTGTGTGTGTGTGTGTGTGTGTGTGTGTGTGTGTGTGTGTGTGTGTGTGTGTGTGTGAATGAGTGTGTTTGGGTGATTCCCACAACTAAGTTGCAGCTGGAAGGGCATTCGCTGCGTAAAATATATGCTGTATAAGTTGGCGGTTCATTCCACTGTGGCGACCACTGATTAAGGGACTAAGCCGAAAAGAAAATGATTGAATGTAGGAGTGTGTGTGTGTGTGAATGAGTGTGTATGGGTGTTTCACAGAGATGGGTTGCAGTTGGAAGGGCATTCGCTGCATAAAACATATGCTGAAAAAGTTGGCGGTTCATTCCGCTGTGGCGACCACTGATTAATTAAGGGACTAAGCCGAAAAGAAAACGAATGAATGTAGGAGTGTGATTGTAAATGAGTGTGTATGGGTGTTTCCCAGAACTGGGTTGCAGCTAGAAGGGCATTCGCTGCGTAAAACATATGCTGGATAAGTTGGCGGTTCATTCCACTGTGGCGACCCCTTATTAATTAAGGGAATAAGAAGAAAAGAAAAAGAATGTAGGAGTGTGGAATAGTTGGCTGCTGAACACTAAAGGAGATATTTTGAAAAATGTTGTACACCTGTAACCATTGACTTCTATTGTAATAAAACCAAATACTATGAAAGTCAATGGTTACATGTGTACAACATTTATCAAAATATCTTCTTTTGTAGGTGGCGAGGTGGGTAGTCATGTTGCCTCACAGCAAGAAGGTCGCTGGTTCGAGTCCAGTCTGGGTCAGCTGGCGTTTCGGTGTGGAGTTTGCATGTTCTCCCAGTGTTGGCCTGGGTTTCCTCTGGGTGCTCAAACCAGTGACCTTGAGCCACCCCTGAGCCATTGTGCTGCCCCGGAACGCATGATATGGACAAGCACAGAACCTGTCATACTAATAAACAGTTGATGTATTGTTTGTCTCTTCAAGATGCCTACACTAACAATGAGGTCGTGTACATCTGGACGGCGGATGATGAGAAATCAGTGTCTGTGGCTCCTGACGGTTCGAGACTCAACCAGTATGACCTGCTGGGACACGTCATCGGCAAAGAGACCATCAGCTCCAGTACAGGTCAGCACTTCTGCTTTCTGTGCCAAAGTAAAGTGAAATGAATTGAAAACCTGAGCACTCAGTAACACTGAAAATAATGATTCACTGGGTTTACTCACATTCAACTATAGTTACCGGACCACCATCTGAAACATGTCAACATCCTCACAGTGTAAGTATTGTATAACTGTCCCTAGATGAAACAATCATGAATCAATGGCTCATTCACTTTCTTCTTACAGGGACAGGTCCCCCAAAAATGAACATTTACTTTGTGTTTACTCGCACTCAAGTGGTTTTGAACCTTTATGAGTAATCTTGAACACTGAAGAAGATATTTTGAAGAGAGCCAAAAACCTTTGACCTTCATAGTAGGAAATGGTTACAAGTTTCCAGCATATTTCAAAATATCTTCTTTTGTGTTTAACAGAAATTCTATAGTTGCCGATAGCTAATCTGATGAATTATTAATTAATTAATTAATTAATTAATTAATTAATTAATTAATAATAATAATAATAATAATAATAATAATAATAATAATAATAATAATAATAATAAAATAA